AGTAACAAAGGCTGACGTCAGATAGAGCAAGTGAGAGGAAGCTCTGGTCAGCTTGGTTGGAGTGAAAAGGAGATTGCTAATTTGCTTGTCTGGGATGCTGTCATGGATGGCTATGTGCTTTTTAGGAAAGACAGGCCAGGAAGGCGAGGTGGTGGAGTTGCCCTTTATGTGAGGGAGCAACTAGAATGTATGGAGCTCTGCCTCGGGGTGGATGAAGAGCAAGTTGAGAGCCTATGGGTAAGGATTAAAGGGCAGGCTAACATGGGTGACACTGTTGTGGGGGTCTACTACAGGCCACCTGATCAGGAGGAAGTCATCGATGAGGCCTTCTACAGACAGCTGGAAGAAGCCTCACGCTCACAGGCCCTGGTTCTCATGGGAGACTTCAACCACCCTGACATCTGTTGGCAAGACAGCACAGCTAGGCACAAACAGTCAAAGAGGTTCCTGCAGAGGATTGAGGATAATTTCTTGACTCAGGTGGTGGAGACGCCAACGAGGAGAGGTGCAATGCTAGACCTTGTACTAACAAACAAAGAAGGTCTAGTTGGAGATGTGAAGGTTGGGGGCAGCCTTGGCTGCAGTGACCATGAGATGGTGGAGTTCAGGATCCGGCGAGGAGGGAGCAGGGCAATGAGTAGGGTTGCAACGCTGGACTTCAGGAGAGCTGACTTTGGCCTCTTCAGGGACCTACTTAGGGGAATCTCCTGGGGTAGGGCCCTAGAAGGAAGAGGGGTCCAAGAGAGCTGGTTAATATTCAAGCGTCACTTCCTCCAGGCTCAGGATCAGTGCATCCCTCTGAGGAAGAAGTTCAGCAAAGCGGGCAGGAGACCTGCATGGATGAGCAAGGAACTCCTGGCAAAACTCCAACAGAAGAAGGAAGGCTACAGAAGGTGGAAAAGGGGACAGCCCACTTGGGAGGAATACAGGGACATTGTCAGAGCGTGCAGGGATGCGACAAGGAAGGCTAAGGCCCAGTTGGAATTAAATCTGGCAAGGGATGTCAAGGACAACAAGAAGGCCTTCTTCAAATACATCAATAGCAAAAGGAAGACTAGGGAAAACGTGGGCCCGCTGCTGAAAGGGGCGGGTGCCCTGGTGACAAAGGATACAGAGAAGGCAGAGTTATTGAATGCCTTCTTTGCTTCTGTCTTCACTGCTAAGGCCAGTCCTGAGGAATTCCAGACCTTGGAGACAAGAGAGGAAGGCTGGAGAAAGGAAGACTCTCCCTTGGTTGAGGAGGATCGGGTTAGAGATCTTTTGCCCAAACTTGACATCCACAAATCCATGGGCCCCGATGGGATGCACCCACGAGTGCTGAGGGAGCTGGCGGATGTTATCGCTAGGCCTCTCTCCATCATCTTTGAAAGGTCCTGGAGATCAGGAGAGGTGCCTGAGGACTGGAAGAAAGCCAATGTCACGCCAGTCTTCAAAAAGGGCAAGAAGGAGGAGCCAGGAAACTACAGGCCTGTCAGCCTCACCTCCATCCCGGGAAAGGTGATGGAACAGCTCATCCTGGAGGTCATCACTAAGCATCTGGAGGACAAGAAGGTGATCAGGAGTAGTCAGCATGGATTCACCAAAGGGAAATCATGCTTGACCAATCTGATAGCCTTCTATGACAGAATGACTGGCTGGGTAGATGAGGGCAGAGCAGTGGATGTTGTCTACCTGGACTTCAGCAAGGCTTTTGACACTGTCTCCCATCACATCCTCCTAGGTAAGCTCAGGAAGTGTGGGCTAGATGAGTGGACGGTGAGGTGGCTTGAGAACTGGCTGGATGGCCGAGCTCAGAGGGTTGTGGTGAATGGCGCAGAGTCAAGTTGGAGGCCTGTGGCTAGTGGTGTCCCCCAGGGGTCAGTCCTGGGCCCAGTCTTGTTCAATATATTCATCAATGACCTGGAGGAAGGGACAGAGTGCACCCTCAGCAAGTTGGCTGATGATACTAAACTGGGGGGAGAGGCTAACACACCAGAAGACTGTGCTGCCATTCAGAGGGACCTGGACAGGCTGGAGAGGTGGGCGGAGAGGAACCTCATGAAGTTCAACAAAGGCAAGTGCAAGGTCCTGCACCTAGGCAGGAATAATCCCATGCACCAGTACAGGCTGGGGACTGACCTGTTGGAAAGTAGCTCTGCCGAGAAGGACCTGGGAGTGCTGGTGGACAACAAGTTAAACATGAGCCAGCAGTGTGCCCTTGTGGCCAAGAAGGCCAATGGGATCCTAGGGTGCATTAGGCAGAGTGTTGCCAGCAGGTCGAGGGAGGTGATCCTGCCCCTCTATTCAGCCCTGGTGAGGCCTCACCTGGAGTACTGTGTCCAGTTCTGGGCTCCCCAGTACAAGAGAGACATGGCACTCCTGGAGAGAGTCCAGCGGAGGGCTACCAAGATGATTAGAGGGCTGGAGCACCTCTCCTCTGAAGAAAGACTGCAAGAGCTGGGCCTGTTCAGCCTGGAGAAGAGAAGATTGAGAGGGGATCTCATCAACGTGTACAAGTATCTGAAGGGGGAGTGTCAAGAGGATGAGGCCAGCCTCTTCTCCGTGGTGCCCAGCAACAGGACAAGAGGCAATGGGCAGAAACTGAACCACAGGAAGTTCCATCTGAACTTGAGAAAAAACTTCTTCACTGTGAGGGTGACAGAGCATTGGAACAGGTTGCCCAGAGAGGTGGTGGAGTCTCCTTCGCTGGAGAGATTCAAAAGCCGTCTGGACGTGATCCTGGGCAATATGCTCTAGGTGACCCTGCTTGAGCAGGGAGGTTGGACTAGATGATCTCCAGAGGTCCCTTCCAACCTAAACGATTCTGTGATTCTGTGATTGTCAGTAATTAACAGATAATTCTGTAAGTGAGTGAAACAATGAAGCCACATTCTTGTTGCATTCTTCCAACTAGTTCTGTTCTCCATGCTCGTCAAGACTGACTGAAATTGGCCAGTAGATTAAAACCTTTTGGGACAGAGGAGGAAGGATATTGACAACGTGCAAATATAGTGAGAATACATAAGTAATTATCTACACAGTAACTTTGGCTAAGAACATCCATGTATGACCAGCATAAGCTTAGTTTCCTGCCCAAGCACAAAATTCTTTTTTAACCTCAGGATCTAGTGGAAAACTTGTTCTTAAGTTACTACTTTGCTTAATACTGATATGTCTTGCTGTTCCCTGAAGTACAATAAAGAATCTCAAACCTCTCAAACAGCCTCCTCATACACAAGAGCTTCTACAAGAGCTTGGACCTGTTCTGGTCCAAGTTCTATTACTTTCACAAATACCTTTCATTCGCTTTCAGTATTTTTTTTAAATATTGTAGATCTGCTTACTTTTGCTTTCTGTGAATAGACCGCAAAAAAGTAAGTAGTTTCTACACTTGCACAACTTGTACTATACTTTTGCTGACATCGTTTTGCAGAGTGGTGCTTACAGAAAACCATGAAATCATGGTGCGAGAAAATCAAACCATTAAATTCAACAGTGTAATTCTGCATTCAGCCATCACAATCCTTCTTTGGAGCGATCCAAAGAGATATTTCATGCTTACTAGGGGAAGGAGTGACAGAAAGAGGGGTGGAATGATTTTTTCAGAAACATAATCTGTTCAAATATATACACTCAATCTCACTGTTAGTCAACAGAAGCATAAAAAGAGTGGTAAAAGACATACCTAGGCACAGTTTATAGAATCGTAATTCTTTATTGAAATAAGATTAAAATAGATGGATATGTTTGAATATTTTTATAATGCATTTTGAGGTTCTGTCAAAAGTGTATGGATTGTGTACCTGGCAGAGGGAGCTCCTATTACTCCAACACAGGAAGATGAATAGCAAAAGTTGAGGTCTAGCTGGGATTTTGGGGGGAGGCGAGGAAAACAGGGCTGAGAACACTTCTTTTTATCCCTCCAGAGAAGAAGAAAAAGGTAAGATATCCAGTGATCTTTTCAGATTCCAGAGACTGATGGGCTGTGGTTTCCCAGATCTCATTTGTACAAATACTGTGGGTACTTTCAGCAGCACTTCTGGCTTTCAGAGATGCGCCCATGCCTCAGAGCTGGGAGAGGTGCATTTCAGCTTTGCCCTGAGTTTGGCAAAGTGTTCCCATTTCAGTGTCAGCAAGATTTCACTACACTGCTCATTTGACAGAGAGGTCATTTATGCAGCTTTTCAAATTTCGGCTTTCACCTAGTGCTCCTTCTGTGATCTAAGAGCACATTTTCCAAGATATTGTCATACCCCAAATTGGGTTGCAAGTCCATTTTAGTGCCTATTTCTTAGCTTATCTGAGAGACTTTCCTCAAAACCTTCACTCACTGATTCTGCATGATGCCACCTTTTCCCTCTGCTAAAGGATGGAGATAAAATAAGAGGTCAGCACATGAGCAAGCAGGAGGAAAAAGAAATCATAACAATGAATATACACAAATACTACCCATAATGAAGGCTCATTCCGATGAGGAAAATGATGCTCATTTATCGAGGCTATTTTGTTTACCTTGCAGCCAGGATGCCATATAAAACTTTTTATTCTGCACTGATCTTCCTCAAATATTCTTTTCCCTCTATCCCCATCCATCCTCCAGAATAACATCAATTTTATTGTCATCTTTCAGTACCTTTGTTTGTGTCCAGACAACTGAGCGGCCAGATGATGCACTGAGGGTCCATCATGATAACGTTTCAAAATTATGGCAATCTACAAGCACATCTACACATTTAGAAGCATCTATATGTTCACGGTATAACAACAATTGCCACTCAGGGCTGCTTTCTGAAGCATAAAAGCACTGTGTAGTCACAAAATATCCAAATAGGTTCCATAATTACTTGAATTGGAATTGTCATTTGTTTAACAAACATACAGAAAACTGAAAACATATGAAGTCTAATGTGCTATTTTAAACACAATATGTTTTAGTGTTATTTTACACAATTCCATGGAGTTTACGTGTATTTTAATATTAACTAAGATAACCGACTTATGAGGGAAGTAGAAAAGCTTACCAAGATGTCACTCAAGTGACTGTGTGAATGAATAATGGCCAGACACAAGAGTCAGTCCTTTCCACTGGCAGATCTCACTTGATGGCAAGCAAGGTACCTAAGTGAGTTTAAACCACAGACATTAACTGAAACCTATCATTGTAACTTCCACGAACTTTTATATATTTATATTCATATTAGGTTGATCTTTTTCCTTCTTTCTTTGAAAAGGGATAAGTTATTCCATGCAGAAAATGCAACTACATAGATGGAGAGTTTTTCAAGGCATCAAGGCTTCCTAATTGCTTTGTAGCAATAAATGCACATATTTTCAAAAATTTGGGTCTTACTCACTCAGGTATGGTCGTACAGCAGAAAATGAATCTGAAGGAAATGCATTAGCCTTTAGACCATCCTCCTTCCTTCCAGCATTTCTAATCAGATGACCTTCCTCATCTATGTGCCAGATTAATGGATTTCAACCTGCATACCTCTTACATAAACAGGACAGCACACTGAGGGACTCTCAAACAGTAACTAAGGAAATCCAGCCTGCTGCCTGTCAGCCTGTATTTGCTAACGGGGGAAGTACAATCTCCACTGACAAACTGAAAAAAACTTTGAAAACCTCTAAGCTAAATTAATAAAATTTCACTGCAATGAAAATAAAGTGGAACTGGTGTGCTTTAAGCATAAAAAGTGCTGCACAAAATGAGCCATCCCGTTCTTTTCTTTGTTATCATTTGATGGAAGTGTCTCAAGGAGTTCATTATTGGAATTGTGATAGCACCTGGAAAAGACAAACACATTGAAATGGAGATTGTACTGTACTGGTGTCACTAGCAAGAGGTGGCTGAACTTTGTATTGATCAGATTTTTGTGGAGATCCAATTAAGAAACCAATTACGTGCAATGAATGATAGCCAGGATTGCCAACCTAAGTATAAGAACTTGCTTTCTATGACTGGCAAACTTCCTATCCTCCTTAATTTCAGAAAGATGGACTTGCTTTAAACATAAAATGGATACAGGTATTTATTATACTTTTTGATGGATTTCAAAAGTGTCAGCTGAAGCTCCTCCACTCTCACATAGCAACATTAATTGGATTGAACAGAAAGCTTCAGAATAGATCATATTAAACTATTTGGCAAGTGTTCCTTCCAGGAGGATTTAGAACTGCATTTATCTTAATTATTAATGTAAAAGCCATACAGAAATAAAATACCTCTTTTATTAAGACTAACTATAAGGAATCTGGGGATTCTTCAGCATTTCAATATTAATAATTTTAAATAAAAAGTCTGCATTTCCTCTATCACCAGAACAGATAACGTCTTCTCGGTGTAATGCAAAGAGTTTTGTGTCTTTAATAAGAAGATACATGTCCATAGGTTGCAGATGGAAAATAAGCTATACACAATTCAGCACTAACTAAAACTGTCAATAATAGTTCAGCGTATCCTGAAAGCAGTCCATCTCCTTTTTCTGTTACATATTCAGGAAAATAAAATAGCATTAATAAAATAGAAAGGACTATGTAGTTTATATCAGGAAAGGCAAAGCATTTTCTAGCAGCACTCCTCACAAGGCTTCCTTATTCATCCTCTGTTTTTCAGATTTGTCTCATTTGGAACATAAACACTACAGAACAAGTTTCTCAGAGGAACTTAGCAATGACTTTAACCCTTAAATATCCTCAATATTGAGACCGGCACCTCAGCTTCTCCTACAATGGAGGCACAAATTAGATACTCAATAAATCAGCTCTTAGAAAGAATAGTTTAAGTGGAACAAGAGAAAAAACTTATACACAGCAACCTTGAGATAAGGAGAGACAGGACTCGTCTCTGACCACACATAGGTTCCTGCCTGAAATTATTGTTCTAGTCAAGATCAGCTTTGCAGATATGTGTAACTGCTATACATAAAGGCTCAAGGACAAGACAGTAGAAACAAACAGACTGAATTTCTCTCTTTTACCTTTTCAGCAATAGTACTCCAGATGGAGGGCAAGAAGCCAAATTGACGTAAGTTTCTTCACAGGCTACAGCTTGCACAAGCCACAGAAACACAGGGGCTGCAAATGTGAGATTGTGGATAAAGAGTACCTTCACAGATAGTAAACACTACTGCCCTCTGTCTCACTATGATGCCATACTGCCATCAATAGGTCATCCTTCTTTGGTTACTCAACGAAAACCCGAAGCCAAGAGAAGATGCTCTCCATATTATACTCTTTATAACAGAAGGGATTTCCTTTCAGCATAATTAAATATTTTGACTGGTAATAATTAAATATTTTAACTTGTAACAGCAATTGGTTCATCAGAGGTAGTTTGCAAGTTCACATGCTGAAATCTTTCACAAAACTTAGACATAAAAGGACCATGGGACATGCAAAAGTTATCCAGTTCACAAAACAACATACACATTTAAACTAGCTAACAAGCATAGGCTAGTACGATTAAAACACTGCCCCAAAGAACCTTGAATTAAGAAGATAATGCAGCAATAGTTGGCTTTCCTTAAAAATATTTGCTACCAGCCATTCAGGCTATTGCCTATTTTGGCCTTTCAGTAAGAGGATTATAAATCTTTCAAAAATATGCCTAAGGTAGTTGGTAATTCTGTAGGAAAGCCTTCTGGTTACTGCCTTTTTGGATTGCTTAGATTGTTTTCTTTGATAAAATAGATTTCTTGAAGAATTCATACCGCAGTGTGACTGCCATAAGTGAATTTGCGTATCTGTTACCATAACAATAAGGAGTGTTTTTGAGACTCTGAAGCAACAGAGAAAAGAAAAAAAGCTAACGCAGACCCATTGGCTTTGCAATAACCATGTACTTTCAGGTTTCCAAGGAGAAAGTGCTCATCTTATGCTGTTGTAGCCTAAGGCCAAAACTCTAAAACCCAGCTACTTAAAGTTAAGCTGCTAAATCCACATTTAATCTCCTTCACACAAAAAAGTTTCATTTTTCACCCTCACCTTACAGCTTTGAAGGTCACTTACTGCTGTTGTTAGCTCAGACTTTTTCACTTAAGCTAATTGGCCTATTCCCCCTAACTTCAGTGAGGCTATCCTAAATTTAAGTACTTGAAAATAGGTTATTGAAGGTACATATAAGGCTAGATTCAGCCAAGCAAAATGAATTTTCAGGCTTAAGACAACTGTTATTGTTCTTCTTTGGCTTTTAAAGTGCTTGTTAAAGTTAGTGGAACACCTTCTTAAGTCTTCTTAAGTTTTTCACAGATAAACACAAGTGAACATAACTCCTTAACTTTGTGGATCTGAGTAAATGTTCCACCTGACTGATTCTCTCTGTTTTCCATTATAATTACCAGATTTGGAGCTAGAGTGCTCCTTTCCTGTTCACTTTGAACATCCGGAATTCACATGTGAGCTTGAGCCATGTTATGTAAAATGTAGGCAAGTCTAACACAGAGTTACATGTCAAAGAAAACTTTTGGCACTGACTTAAAAGCTTCTTCAAGCTAAACTTTTCCCCATTAGTATATACAGTATATATTAACTTAAACTACTTGAGCTGCTACTTAAGTTACAAAGTCACAACTCAGAAAGGGAATTTTTCTTTTTAAACAGATTCCAGGTAAAACCTCATTTACGATACCTAACCTCCTGCATTCAAGCCACTTAGCATCTTCAAAAGTCTTCCTGGATAGGTTTCTGCATCCGTAGGATGTAAGCATGTTTGGCCTGTGCATTGCTCCTAGAAAAACAATGGTTTAGGGATGAGTTATTCATTTCCTAAGGTCCCTAGGAGTGAAAGTGCTTATTTACTTGTTTGATATCCTCGTTGTCTCAGAGTCATAAGAGTACTCCAAGCTGCCCATCTTTGGCACAGTCCACGTGTTAAGGACCTAAGGACTTGATATAAAGTACAGAAAATTCCATGCTGAATATTCTTCTGCCTCTGTCTAGCTGAGACTCACAGCAGATACTTGAATATTCACTGCAAAACCAGGAAAGCCATTAACATTGCAAACTATTCTGCTTCTTTTGTCATTGAGATTGTTTCGTAGCTGGGAAAGTTCATGCAGTTGCCAGTAAAACTGCTCCACTCTACTCTCACGATCTTATCTGCATTAGCAGTGGAAAGACAATCAAAAAGTAGTGAAAAAACAGCTGTATTTGCTTGTCACAGTCATCTTTAGCAGAAGAAAGGGAAATCCTCTATTGTCCTGCTGCCCCAAAAATCCTGGAGTCAAAGGCTCAGGGGGGGTCGTAATTTGCGTTTCTTGCCAGGCAGATTTTGCAGCTTTGCTGTGCTACGTGTCCCCGCTGGTGAGGTAGGTGGATTAAAGCATTCGCAGGAGTGACTGATCAACACCGCAATATAAACATATCTGAAGCAGCAAAATTCACGTAAAGCGGGAGCTTTAGCTAACCTCTGTTAAAGCACTGCTCCCTCCCGCTGTGAGCTGAGGGGAGAGGAGAAAAGGCTTCTGAAACTATCACAGCTTGGAGGTTTCCAGGCACACCAGAAAGCAAATGTCCGAAGGCCAGGGAACTGGGAAACTAACAGCAGGTCTGATACTGTATCTTTGTCTTCAGGGATTAAAGGCTAATCCCTTCCTGAAGCTCAGACTGAAATTGGAGCTGTGTGCAAGTTTCTCTCTCCCTTTCTCTCTCTCTGCCTCTCCCAAGGATTTATCTCTCTCTTCAGTTCATGGGGAAAACTATTATGGAGTCACAGCTAAGAGGTGACATATTCTGCTGTACAAAAAAGTTAATGAGGAGCGTAGCAACTGTAGTTGCATTTTCTTCTTTCCAAAAAATACTGAGGCACAATCGTGTATTATCTTTTAAATAACAAAGGCTATGCATGTGTAATAAGAAATGAAACTGTGAACCTAGCATAGTGGAGGAAGGCAATGTTCTGTTTAAGCAATACAAACAGTGTTAATTTAAATCCACAATAACTGTGATATTAAACATAAATAGAATCTTTATATGAAATCCTTAAAGTAAAAAAGCCCAATCACCTCAACCTCTGTTTCACAGCTTTGTTAGAGGCAGGAGTCTCTATCATATTGGACACCCCATGAGGGTGGAAACATCCTAGACTTTCAGCGTGCCTAAGCATGGGCCTGTTAAATAAGACTGGACGTATTAAAGTTATTGAAAGTGCAATGTGTCTCTTTGATTCACAACTCTGATAGGAACACTTTTTTGCTGAAAATGAGAGCAAGTGACAGCAGGAGTGAAGGCACAGTGACACAGGATAGCTGCCTAACTGTGCGGGGTGGCTCAAGGGCTTTTTTGTCAGCAGCTCATGCTGAAGTGCTTCCTGCCCTGCCATTGCTACTAGTGTCACTTTTTTGACCAGCTTATTGCTAGCTCTAATATGCCCACATGGCTATGCCATCATGTCTCCAAGATCCAGCTTGTTTATGGGCGTTTAGTCTAATGACACAGGCACACAACCTCTTACAGCTCTGTTCGAACTATCAAGCTTTAGTTGAACTGAGGTAACTGATCATCTCTTTGCTTTCAGTCCTTGTCAAACACGAAGAAAAACAGCACAGACTGAATGAAGCCCAGGTCTTTATTTCGAGAGGTCTTTATTTCTTGGCAATTTAGCAGCTGTGGTAATTGCCTGAGTGCATGCTCGGTGGATGCCTGGAAACTCAGTGTATCCAAGGTTACCACACAGTTCCTTGGGCATGTGGAAAGCTCTTACGTGTTGCTATGCAACTGTACTGCAGTGAGATGTACTGTAAATGCCCTGCTGGCACTGACATTTTTTAGGACTGAAAGTATTTACAGAGTGTGAAGTTCTAGTAATCAGTATGCTTGATATGGCGAGAAGAGATTAACCTTCTGGCTGATGGTCAACTGTTCTTAAATGACAGAAATGCTACATTTAATGAGGTCATAAAAGATGTAAGAACTTAAATAAATGGGATTTGTTTTAACAGCAAAAAGGTAATCTGTACAGAGTTCCACTTGGATAGATGGTTTTAGCTTGTTAACTTAAATATCAGAGGTAGAATAAGCTTCATAAATTGGTATGATAACAACCCTTCAGCAAGTAATGCTCCTTGCTCGTATATATAAGTGCATGCAGTATATAGCAGGAGGATCTTGTTCTGATGAACAGAAGCATGCAGCAGAGCAGTTAATTAAGAGAGGACTCAGTGGACCGCACTGATTTTCCTTTGGTTCCCAGAAATCTGCAGAGCCAACCCAGCGACAGATCTGTGAGGAGAACTGAGATGTACTCTGGAGTCTTCCTGGGTTACACAATATATTTTAACTCTTTTGAAATAAATAGAGATTTTTACTGGGGATAGCATTTCTCCCTCTCTTTTCTTTCATGTAAGGCACTAACAGCCTTTTATCATTTGGTGCAATAAAAATATGGGGACAACTGAAAGTCAGCAATATTTGCCAATGGCCTTTCCTTCTGCACCACCGTAGCCTTCTTACCTGTGTACAGTTTTCCATTGGAAAATTACACTGGTTAGCTGTATTAGATAATTTCAGAAGTTTTTTGGAGGTGATGTCTTAAGCAATATTTTTAGATACCTAGCTGAACTGAGAGAAAGAGGCTAGAGCACAGCTTTAGGACCCCAGCTTCCAGACTTGGATTTAGGAACCATTTCACACAGTAAGAACAAGAACTCAGTACTTTTAAAAGATATCTGTACCGGGAAATAAAGTTTCCTTTCCTGTCTTTTCTAAATGTCTCAATTTCAAGACAACACATTGTCAGTCAATTTTGATGTATAAGATCAGTTGACCATATAGCATACTGTGTAAGCTTACTTTCTGTACTAGGATTTAGACTCTGTATTTGGTGTTTACCCAGCAAACTGTTTGTCAGTGCCTAGTCACAGGAAAATTCACTTAATTATGCTAACAAATCTTGAAAATGTGTATCCTTAGATAGAAGGGTGGTCATATGGTACTTGTGAAGCAATTTAAGTGAATGATGTCTCACTAGTCTCCTGTGCTGGATGGTTTACAGCCAAAATAGGCTATACATTAGATATGTATATCCCTAATTTTAAGCAGAAGTCAGT